CGTAATGCGAAATAGGTGAGTCAGAAAATCAAAATATATCTGTATAGTGTATGTAGATAATACCCAGCTCCAAAACATATTTATGTTTAAATGGGGGTGAGCATCATTGGTGAATCACCCTGTATAAAATACATCTAAATCTAATTATTACATTTCCAACCAGTAATTTAAAAAAAAATGTATATAATCATCACTTGTCAATCAAGACGGACGGCCGAAGGACGTGCCGGTGATATTCACACGGGCAGTGAGGTGTACCTTCGACGTGCCGACATCCATAAATGGATTAAATTCAGGTACCCCCAAACCACTGTGTTCGTTCCGTCGAGATAACACTCTTCATCATTATTACTGATGTTATTATTATTATTACTATTACTACTAATAGCACTACTTTTATTATAACTACTATTATACTAAAGAGATGGAATCACGTATGTAACATACCTTACATGGTATAACGACTGTTTATCGGTTCTGTGCAGCTAAAATTATTTATTCTACACAAATCGTAGAATGGATGAGGTTTATAATTTATTTTTATTTCTACTCTTTTGCAAAACCACCATCAAATACTCAGATGAAAATTACCTAAATGATACACAGAAGTGTAAATGACCTATAGTTTGCAGTTATTGTTGAACATTATAAGTTCGTTAAACTCGAGTAAAACAATTTCATATTGATACACGTGGCACGTTAGTTTCTTATTATTGAAGTACTTATATTAATATATTATTATGTAGTATAATTTTATAAAAGGAATAAGGGATAATGTTCTACAAAAAATAATATTTCAGATTAAATGAATGAACAAGATTTTTTTATACTTCGTTATATGACCAACAAGTTCATGCATTGCATTATTTAAAACAATATAAGTGCCAGCACATAGCCATTAGCCGCGGAAGCAATGCGAAAGCAGTTCCCGCGGCGTTGGCGGTTCCAAACTGAAAAAAGGTACATGGACATTAAAAAAAAAAATAAGTCGTAGCAACAGGGAATATATTTGAACCTGTTGGGAAATAAATAAGTAAAACAAAGATGACAGGTGTATAATGTACATAAACTTTTCAAGTATTACTAATCTAAGTGCCACTGATGTTTTGCATATTATGCATAATGCATAAAATTGTATCGATAATTTATGTATAGAGGCACATCGGAGGAATATCGGAATAAATAACTTTTAGGTGTCGTAATCTTTACTCAATTTTTCTTTAACGAACTAACTTTGTTACTTGCGATTGCAGATTGACTGGTATTAAACTAATATTATCTGGTATTATTTAGGAAATTATCCTTTTTCTTAAATATTACAAAGTTAAACTACAAATATGAATATAATATATTCGATGATTATAATTGATTACTATATATTATAATATTTAAACTCATACTAAAGGAAACTATCTTAAGTATTTTTTCCCAGTTAAAAACCATTGTCCGGTTAAAGTCGAAAACTAAATTTTACAAACGTCACTCGATAAAAGGACAACAACAACGCTGAAAATATTGTATACCTACTTGTTTAAGGCAGAATTAATTAATTTAACAGCTGAACATCTGAACATAATACAGAGCACAGTTTAATTTTTGCACAACGTTCAAAATAAAACCATGGGCAAAGTGATACTGCTTTGCTATAGGTTAGGTTAGTATGGGAATTAAAAACCATACCTCACAAAAAAAATTAATTTGCCTTCCTGATAAACTTTTTTTTTTTTTTAAGGTAGAATAACTTATGAGTTATGAAGAATCTTGTATCAAAGAAGAATGTTGTCAAAATTGAAACTTTAGACGCTCATAAAAAATGATTATGAATTTATGATCAACTTTTTTTTTTAATTTCCACTAGGTAACAATAATTTATGAAAAATATTGATTTAAGTTTTCAAGATTTTTGACCCAACAAACAATTTTTTATCAACAATAATTTAAAAAACAAATAAATATTTTAATTTTCTTATGTCTTTTAATAGCTTAAAAAGAGCCAAAATATTTTGAACATATTATAAAAATACTAATTTAAATAATAGGTATAAAGTTTAGGTACTTTTCTGTTATCCCTACTATACCGCAAGTCTCCATTCTGTTATCTTGACTACCACGCCGGTGCTGCGACTAAAATTCGCTGGATTACCTGTTCCCGACAGTTGTATTTCTGTCATTGTATTTATTAATTTTAAAATAATTATGAATCTGTGGAATTTACCAAACAGTGAAAAAGATGCGATTGAATTTTTCCAATAGAAGGGTTTACTTCCGGGGCACCGTAAATGCAAAAATGGTCATAAAAAAAAATTATACATCGGTCAAAAAGAAATTTTTTGGAAATGCAACGTCAAGACGTATCAGCATAAAACCAATATGCGTAAATAGGTTATCTGTCTTTTTTAACAATACTCCGATTTATATATTGTTGGAGTGCAGATTTGACCTCCGTTAAATTTTGTGAAAAGCATGAAGTTGTATTAATATACATTATTATATAAACGGCAATTCATGTGTTTTATATATTAAAATATAGAACTATCTGGATATTACTTTAGTAGTCGAGATAACAGAATTGAATGGTCGCGGTAGTCGCGGCATCGAGCGGTAGTAGGGATAACGGAAAAGTACCAAATTTTATATACATACATTGTACAGTTATTATTTTTAGAGTTACATAAAAATACAAAATCAATTTTGTCGAAATTGTCTTTTTTGTTTTTCTTATGATTTTTCTTATGCTTAACTACTGAGAATTTTGTACTTATGATCTTCTAACTACTTACTAGATTTACTTTATTACCATAAAAGTTGTTTAGGTACAAAATCGAAGAACACACAAAAAAACACATATCATTTTGAAATCAATTTAGACTATAAATGACAGATTTAGAGTATGTGACACTACAGCGAAGGTATGATGGAATATATTTTTTTTCTACAGAATTACTTACATTTATAATATGAAGTTGCTGGTTATTAAACACAAATTGTTGAATTATACTATATCTTTATATTTATAATGACAAAAACTGATTTTTGTTTGTAAATCATATAGCAAAACAAATTTGATTCAAGATTCCAAGAATTCTTAAAAAACAAAAATTAAATCAAACAATAATTCACACAATGTAAGCCTAAATATCAAGCGAACAACGTTCAAAATCCGACCAATTCGTTAAACATTTTGAATATAATTTTACGAGAATACGATTTTTTAGTTTTTATTTACTTCCGACAAAAAAAAAATTGAAAAAAATGTATGATGCAATTACGATATTATGGTATTTGATAATACAGCCGAGTATCATAATATTAGTATAAAACATTATCAGCGTTTTCATAAATATAATATTTGTAATTTGTTCTTGTTCTACAATAAAAGAATATAATTATGATGTTATTAACAGACGATATACAGATTATACGTGGTAAATCAACTCATTTACTGACAACAAAATTATAACAACTATCATTAATTTTTTTTTAAGTCTATGGCATTGCAACAGATACCTCATTATTCTGTTTACTTATATTTTTTTTTATGTAATAATCTACTTCTAATGGCTTGAGAGAAAAAAACGATTTAGTGTTGAGTGTGTTTGAGTTATTACGCAAGAAGAAAATAAAGAATAGATAAACACGTGAGAAACTTATTTTTCGTTTGACAACCAACTTATGGTAATATACATCGAACATTAGTGTATCAAAACATCAATAATACTTATTTATCAGAAGGAACGTATCAAAACAGAATGGTTAATTTTAAGAATCTTTATTTGGTTGGAGGATATTTTACAGTGTATTGTACCTATCTATAAAATTCAAATAGATTTTAATGCTTTTTCGTACACAAAGATTTTAGATTATTGAATTAAAATTTAATATGTTTACTAGAGTGACCCACCCTGTCCACCTTTTTTTATTATTAATTATACGATTCGATTAAATATGAGGAATGTTAAAATGAATGTTAATTAAAAACCGTAATCCTCGAATTCAAAACATAAAATCGGTTTGTTATAACTTATAAGTGTAATAAGGACGTGTAATTTTTTTTTTTAGGGCATATTTATATTTTTCGACGCATATGTGCAAGTTTGGTGAATTTTTAGTGCCTAAAAGACCTTGCTCTAAAATTATTGCATCGATCTATAATGAACAGTATCAATAATTTAAATCGCATCGCATGACCAAAGATAAGTAAAATACTAATAACCGTGTGGACTGAGTGGCTTCCAAATATTCAGTTTTGCTCGATTGTTTTTTTTAACATTAGTCCACTGCTACATTTAAAACACGTGTGCAGAAGTTGTTTTCCGTTTTGTTATCAAAATGGTAATTGCAAAATAATCTAAAACTGGTCTCACGGCTGAATTACATAATAATTCCATTTGGGAACCGTGTCACGCTGTGCCGCCACAGAGCTTCTCCATTAACTACGCAGTGGTACCCGAGCGAAACGTTGTTTTAGGGGCTACCTAACATAACATTAAATGTGTCGAAAATTATAATTTTAAGATATATAAACCTCAGTGGATTTGCGTATCATAAGTTATACGAACATTGTATACCTAGTTATGTGATAACACAATAATGTATTATATCGTTATCGGTCCGCTGCGTTGTACGTCTTGTGAAATTATTGACCACAACAAGGTTATACTAGTTAATAGAAACTAATAAGTAATAAATAATAATTATTGTTTAAGTAATTAATACGAACTTATTTAAAACTATTCATTTATGCGATTATTTAAAAATAATTTTAATCACGGCTTGGTTTCATGCACTAATAATATACGCACATTTTATAACGTATTACTTATATATATTATCTACTATAATCTATAGCAATTATTATTTTTGGTAAGTATTTATAGAGCTCTTATTATTTTGTTACTACAATGGCGTTCTATCATAATTGAAAAGAAATATTTTCTCAAACAATTGTCATATATATTAACGGGTATTAGGTAGAATTTTATTGTAAAACGTTGACTTACCACATGGCTTGTACCGAGACTGGTTTAAAAATATGTTGGCGGCTGCATACGCTAACACTGAATCCTCTGAAAAATAAAAAAAATATTTATCACATATAGCCAACGAAGAAATAAAAGAAAGCTATCTAAGAACAATATTGTTGTACGTTATACGCAAGATCGTAAAATATCGAGTGGAAGTAATAAAAAACCTATATTGTTTTTTTTTTGTACTATGTAGGAACGGAGATGTAGATGAAAACCTATATTGCCGCTGGCAAAAGACACTCGGCTAATATAGCTGAAAAAAATTAACTTTGAAAAGGTAAAAATAAGGAACTTTACACTATTTAAGTATTTGAAAATATAAACTATATTGGCACATTAAATCAAGTAAAAATAAAACGAAATCATAATACAATTAAATGAGTGTGATGAACATTTACGAAAAACGGTTCTAAGCGGGGACGGTGTGTATCCTATAGTATACATGTATAAATAATAAGATTTGATAACTAAAAACGGCTGAATATCAAATATTGTAAAAAAAATTTAATCAAATGATCATAAAAAGTAAAGATACTGCCTGGTGAATTTTTTTTTGATAAGTGGTAAAATTTGTTGGAAATCTTCTATTAAAAATTCTAATATTAGCTATGAGAATAAAAATGTTATTAATTTCTAGCTGAAAAATAATTTGCAAAATTTTTGGAAGGTAAGCTTAGAAATTTCGGGTTTCAGTTGAATTTGTCAAATTTATAAAAAATAACCATCATTAATATTTTTGAACTGCTATTAAAGCAATTTATGAGGACCTTTGCATCATCATATATTCAATATATTTGGTTTTTATCGACAGTTATTTAAAAAATGTCAAGTATCTACGGATATCACTTTTTGAGTTAAATCAAAAAAATCAAAAAAATATTTATTTTTTATTTTTGATGCTTTTGAAAAACACTGGGCATTTTCTATTTTGTCTTCCCCAATGCACCATTACACTTGACTTTTCTATCAGAAAATATGCTGATACCAAAAATCGAAGTATGTTTATTACCCCAAATGTGTTAATGACGAACAAAAACACACATCAATGTAAATACAATTTATTCATCGTTATACGCTCAGAATATAAAATGCATCAGATAATATTTTTATTGGAAACAAATTTTGGTATTTTTCTTCTCCATAAAATATTTATCCCACACCAAATACCTAAATAAAATCAGATAATTGTTATTAAGAATATATCTTGAATTTAGTTTATCAAACAGTCATTAAAACACGTAGGTAAAACAAAATAAAAAATGTATACCTAACCGAAGAAAATAATGAATTTTTATTCTATATCTGTACTGTATAGCATGCCTAACCTACTAAGATAACATCTTTTTAAAATTTTAACGACCGCTTTAATGTCATTGTTTATTATATATACCTACAAATACAAAACCTTTTAAAAAGTTTTCATGTAAAAACTTCCTAAAATTATTTTATTTTATCTTAAACATCTAACAAAGCTTATCTTACATAATGTAAATTTAAGTAACATTGAAAAATCCGCTTTCAAGTTTTGAAGTTTTTTCTTCTTAAATATATTTTTAAAAAATTAACAAGTAGTTACCTACTAAAGTCTGTGTATATGAAATGTAAAATATTTTTAATGCCGAGGTTCATGTTTTTAGTCCAGGAAATAATTAATCAAATTACATTTTAGATATCTGAGAGGAGGGATGAATATATTGATTTTACTATGATGTGTTTTTTTTGTCTCTATTATCAACTTTTGGGATAATAAAAATGACTAGATTTTCTTCAAAAGCATATTTTTTGGTTGGAAAGTGAATCTAGTCGTTACTTTTGAGAAAAAAGTAAAAATTTCCCAATAGTTTTTAAAAGCATCAGGAAAAATAAATTAAGGGAAAACTGAAATTTTTCATAAATTCTATCACAAAAAAAAAAAAATAACCGTAAATACAATACAAATTACATTTTCACTAAGTGTTAATATTACTAATTTATTGTGCACCATTTTTTTCAGACATTTTAAGGTAAAATTTGGACAAAATTACATATTAAAACCAAGAATAACGATTTTGTGTAGTTAATTTGTACATACATTGTATACACACAATGACATTTTCAAATGTAATTTCCTCGGCAAAAATTACTTTAATCTAAGTACGACTGTATATAGGACTAATGTTTAATACTCGAAGTAATTTAAAATACTTTTATCACAATAATATCATAACTTATTCATATTATAGACTGACAGACAGTCTTGGCTTAGAATCGTTTTTCGTGTATAATGATTTTATATCATTGAATTCAAATTGTATACATATATTACACCTACTCTCTAGTCTCTATAGACACCTAATGCGTACAGCGAGCGTTACCCGATTCCTGGCTTTTTTTGTTTTAATACAAGTTTGTCATGAATGCAAGTGACTACAAAAATGGAACAATACCGTTGAAATTCTAAGTACAGTGTATACAGTAAGCATACATTTTAGCAGCGTGTATCATATGTATTTATTATGAGTTTAACTTAAACTTATATTTACCCATCTCCATCCAGCGTGATCGTGGTATCTGCAAGAAGTCTAAGCACCAGCCCAATAGTAGTACTCTGGTTACAGTCAAGACCCAAAAGACAGGATTCCTCTTGACAATTTCCATTTATACAAGAAACTACAACTAAATATCTGGTACGGCCTGAATGTACGCTTTCCAGCTTTACTGCCTGAAAAAATAATATAATAGTTAAATGTAAATTATAAGTTAAAATTATATATTGATTTCAATAATTCGTATTAAAGTTTATTTTTTATTTATCATTCAATGTACTAGTAAAAACATTTTTGACGTTCATATAATTGCTTCGAGAATATATATATGACACACGTGTTCCATAACCCTACAGTAACCCTACAGGCTACAGTAACCCAACAGTCCTAAAAACTCTACAGTACCACAACCTACAGCTAATGGCCTCAGTTGCCGAAGCTTAAATAAAAAAAAAAAAAATATATATATATATATACATCATTCCAAAATTAAAGTAAATTCAAAAACATAAAAATTGTATTCTAAAACTAAAAAGAACGCGAATGAAAAAATATTATATAATATGTCATGCAGGTAAGCAACAGCCATTAGGAGTTTAAAAACGGCAAAAATGTATGTTACCCCGGAAAATGTTTTCATGTCAATGACTTATCATGTACTTACTACATATTATTATGTAGGAAGTGTAATTGATAGTAATATACACTAAGGAGCTTTTCAGTTTTTACAATTGAGTCACAGCTTAATACAATAACCTGGTTATTAATCAATAACTATATATACTCGCATGTCAAATTATATCGCTACGTTAACCAACATTTATGTAAACACATTTCTCAATAGATCATATTGCAAATAAACAAAACTACAGATCCTTATATTGTAAATCTTATATTTAAATTAATTTTGATTGAAAAAAAATGTCTTGGGAGACAATTTAAAAATAACAGTTAAGTACCTAGTTATAACAAATATTTAGGTATACCTATTTAATTAAGTAAGCGGTTCTATACTCGAGAGAGAAAATATTGAAATTAAGTCCACCAACACTACACTAGACAATATAAATCATTTGCCAGTGACAGACAAATTGTACGCATATGATATAATAATATTGTCAGTCATCACTATTTATCCGAGTTACAGAAAGGCTATTATAATTATTTTGTAACATTATAAAAATAAAAACTGCTTACGAGATTATTTACTTCAGGTGTGCGATTAATTATAGATGAATGGCTATTAAATATTAAAAAAAAATCATTTAATTATTAAGAGAAAATTATTAGAGAGAATATAGTATTTATACTTAGGTTATAAGAACATTATTTTTTAGGATATAATATTCGATACATCTATCATGATAACACTGTATACAGTGATAGCCCTTCGAGAATTTTCATTACAACATAATTTTGTGTGAGTAAAAAAAACATGTAAGTATGGTTGTTTAATAAAATATGATGTGTTAAATGGACTTGATGGAAGGATGAATGGACTATACTACTATAGTAAGTGAGTTTAAACTTTTATAACTGATGCAAACAGATATCTTTCTACATATCTATCGGTTTAGGTTATCAACACCATATTACGTGTTTTAACGCTATACTACATATATGTTTAAAATATAATAATATTATACCGGATGCAAATAGTGACGAACAATAAATAACATGTCTCGGCGGATCCCTTAAGGCTATTGGTGTTAAAGAGGTGAAAACGCGCAATCAGCCAAGCGAAATCGCTCGTCGATATGTCTTTAATTTTCCCTTCGGATCAACACGCACACTATTTTAATCTACACAGCGTATAATTGGGTGACTAGGCCATTATAACACCATTAACGAGATATTTTGAAATTGACAAGTAAATAGCGTTCGTCAAAAATAATATACCAATAACTATCAATTATCATCTCATGAGCAGCAACACATTTTTTTCATATTTCATACTCTTGTTAGTTCGAAATCAAGTTTTTTACAGGTTTAGAAACTCAAAATCGTCTGTTTTTAATGTTTCTATACATGTATAATTTGTTTAAATGAAAAGATTAGAAACTATTATTATAAACAGTTTATACTCATACAAACATACCTGTATCAAAGTAGAGAAATAATATTATATTTGTTAGTTCTATAAAGTTAAATAGAATTTAAATTATAAAAGTATAATGGACAAATGTTATTGCATTTTTAAATACAATTATTATTTCAACAGATAAGAACAAATTAAATACAGATTTTCAAACATTAAATTATTTTTATTTTATACGCGCACACATTTGTTACTCATTATAATTACATATTTTTACACTTGAATACTTGATAATATTACATGTACATAATAATTTCGTAAAAGTATTGACTCATTATGTATGTTTTCAGAATATAATTTTTTAAATTAATATTCAACAAATGGCTTTACAAAAAATGGTAATATGTTTATTTATTTTAATTACATCGCCACATTTAATATTTTATGCTTCTATAATCCGGTTAATACGCTTTTAATTTTCTAATATTAATCTTAGTTTATGCTCAAAGTTATAACATAGGTTAAACATTTTTAAAATATACGAAAAGTTGGATTCAGATTGTTAAATAACTGGTATAGGTAACCATAAAAAAAAAATTAAGGTTAATATTGTTTCATAATTTTACATGGTATATATTAGTATTAAATAGTATTATCGTCTTTAACAAATTAATTGAATTGTTTGTTTTATACGCTAGTAACTAGACAATGGCAATAAATTTAGATCTCATTACATTGAACAATAGAATACATATAATGTTACAACGGAACAATACACTTATATAGGTGCTGGGAGATTTTCTGAATATGATCACCATTTCATAGACTTTTTACACAAAATATTGAGTCGCGCAACCTTTAATGATCATATACATTCTATAAACCTAGGCAGTCGACCAGATTGTTAAGACGATTTAAACCTGTCACCAATTTTTAAATCTACATAACAAGTATATTTTACACCTATACATTTAAATTTGACCATTAAATTTCCGACTCTAAATATATAATGATACCAATTTTGTTTGTTTTTAAAATAACTACGGCCTTCCATTCGTGAAAGTGAATTCGATTGTTTAGTATAATGTGTCAACCACACTATATTATAATTTATCTGCTTGAGAGGTATCGATTGTGCCCCATTAGAAATCCATGTGGGCACACCCTTCGAATGTTTCATACATTGTTCAGCTATCAACGGTAAAAATCAAAGAGCTTTATGTCATCACTGATTATCTGATGGGTGGGTGTTACGTTCATAATACGCGATGATCGCAGACGCCTGACTTCTTATAACCAAGAGGAAAACTTTCTTTGTGTACAAACTAGTTTTGGTCTATAAGTCGATTAACCATGATTTGCGAATTTGAATTTCATGCTTTAACAATTATTGGTGTGGTACCTATGGGGTCCATTGTTTTTCATCGATCGCGGTTACTATTCTTATCTAGACCTTCAACAGTAATAATAATACATTAGCATGAAAATCCGAAATCACCTTGGCCTACAGGGAGCAATATATAGTATATAGGTATACGCATACGATTACGTGCTAACACTGGCCTAACAGTGAGAAATCGACCAATTATCCGTTGAATATAACCTTGAGCAAATATATAATAATACGATTTTGACCCCAGCAGTAATCATTGCTTCCAGCAAGAAGTCTTTATGTTCGGCAATTAGCTAATCATTTAGATATTCAGAGATAAACTGTAAAGTGAGGAAGCCTCTCAAAAAATATTTCGTTGATATTTTTTGCAAAAATAACATAAAATATATTTTAAAGACGTTTTATAGGGACATTGTAACTATATTATAAATTATAATATTGATTTAAGTAAGAATTCAATACGAATTAGGTACTCAAAATTCTAAATATACAATTCAAGGTAGTTTGACAAATAAAAAAAAAAATCGTTGATTGATCACTTATTGTATTTATATGTTATTCTATAGTTGACCCTCATCGCTGCTAAAGCCCACTATATTTAAGTATGCACTATATTATACATTTTATTGCTTTAATTTTTCATTCAATCAAAAGTTTAGTAAAATAAAATAAGTTATACTGCATACATACAGCTATAGGTAAAGTAACTATACAATATAGTACATATCAATACGATTTTCAACAATCGTAAAGTATTACTATGACGACCTAATTTATATTATTCAATTGTGATCTATAAATGAAATAATTATTTTACTTTATTTCAATTATTTTATTAAAATATGTGAAACGTCAAATTACATTTTTTAGCAGCCTTGAAAAATGTTCGCGTTCTAAGTGTTAACCATATTTTTTAATGCACAGTAAAATATGTACCTAATCTTACCAATCCACCGAAAAAACAGTATGTAATATTAACAACACTCATATATCGGCAATCAAATTATTTCCATGCATGTCGCGTTATTTACAAATATACAATATAACATTGTGTCAACACGTATAACGCGTACCTACTTTTCTTTGTACACGCACAAGTAGAAGAAACTTGTGGATATAAAAAATATATGAGGTACATGTTGAATGCATTTAAAATCGTTAACTTGCACGTTTAAGAAAATAAACCACGATCATCTGTCTCCTTGTGAAGGTTGCACACGAGTCTAAAGTCGTGAGGTAAAAGGATTTCGGTCGAGTGTAATTATATAGCAGGACAAATTAACGCACTTTTCTGAATGCATTGCTCAAGAGGATAATTATACAATTTAAATACAATCCACACAACACGATATACGTTTTTGTGCTACAGGATTTTGTGGGTGATGTATTTCAATAAAATATATTTTACATATAACATAATAACGCAATATATTAAAGTTTGCCCCATTTTAGAGGGATACATTGTTAGGAGTGATACGAGTAGGTACGAAATTTTGAATCAGAGGAAAAATAACAAAAGCAAAACTTACACATTTTGGGGTACCTATATTTTTTTTTTAAATGTACCTTTATATTTCTTTGATACGGCTACCTAGCTATTTAATAATTTATCAAAATACGTCATAAACCATTTGGCGACGCTCCAATCATTTTTAAGATTTAGAAGAAAAAAATATTTATATGTATACAGTTATTTGATAGTAGACCATATTATAACATTGTTATTTTTTAAATACATAAACTCAAAACTTAAAACCATATTTATCCACTCTGTTATTTATTTATATGATCGAAACTTACCATGTTCAGACTGTCATCGGGTCTGAGTATGTGGAACATAGACTGCAGATGTGCCTGTATGTCGTTGGCACGGGTCTGCATTTCGTCTTCGCCGGCGGACAGCCGACTGGACGCCGGAGCGGACAGCGACTGGTGTCTGTGCGGGTGTAGCGAATGATGGTGGTGTCTTTTACGGCGTGGCTGTTGCTGTGGTTGCTGTTGCTGGTGCGACGTGAGCGAACACAGCACCGCCGCCGAACCCTTGTTGGCAAAATAACACTCGCTAAGCCTGTGGGGCATAGTCAAGATGAACAAATTAGGTGAATATTATTATAATGAACACATAATAAAGCTTAACATTAAATGTGTTTTAATATACATGTGCATTGTAAAATAAATATTAAACGTATCATTATTTCGTTTGATATTTATTGAGGCAAAAAGGTCAGTGTGTGCCGTAAATCCTATGCACAAATTATATCACATATTATTTTCCAAACGTCACGGAATCGTACTCGGTAGAATCTCGTCAATGAGTATACGTGCACATATAGGTACATATACTATTATTATAACGCGTTGTCTGTAGAGAACAATAATAATAATACACTCAACATCGTCATGTATATATAGGTAGGCACTGCAGTCGTAGGTATATCGTGTTTTTTTCGAGGGGGATGTGTGTGTGTGTTTGTGATTGATGAAGAAACGATGGTACACATATTATAGCAAACGTATAATGATAATAATGTGGTCGATGTATATATGCACCTTCCTACTACACGAAGGCACTGGATATAAATCAAGAACTGCAGCGATCGTCATAATAATAAGAAATTCGATATGCACACTCTTTATCATCGTGTCGGTAGTCAGGCATACGTGCAGTTCCTATCGTGTTACACATTCATACTTTATACATGTATTATAGCTGCTATTACTACAGCGTTAAGGTATATATCGTACTAAATCCACCACCCACTGTACCGAGTTTGTCAGTTCTAAATAATTTTTAAAAGAATCTCGATCCTGCGTTACGTGTAGGTACACCAGATAATATTGGCAGATAGCAAACCGGTGGCTATTGCAAATTAAATTTTTTATGGGGGCGTGACCGATAATTATTATATAGGTATTATGTACTTAAAAAAACATAAAATTATTAACATTTTGCGTATGAATATATAACGTATAAGATGTAACTCTTTATACACGTCTGTGTCATAATATATAGGTAGACGATCATTGCTAGAATGACAAACACGACGTGCAGAAAGCGGGAGAATGGTATATACATAGGTGCACATTACACGGGCAAAAAATTCATATGCGACGTAATCGTGGTAATTTTCAACGTAACAGAGAAAAATAATAATATAGGATATTATCCTGACAAGTAGGTACCGGCTAATATAAATAGTTATTATTACACGTGACGGACACGTGTTACGTATTATGTGTAAATCGAATACACACAACATATATTATTATATTTCCATTATATGTTATGCTTATGATGATTGCCATAATTATACGAAAACTAAATTATATTATATTAATGGTGCAAGCGATTTCGACATATACAAATAAATTATAATAGAATAAATATAATCTTTTTCTTTTGCACAATTTCGCTATGGTAAAGATTGATAGTCTTTTAAACAAATTACAATTTGTCTATTGTAAATTTAAATATAAGTTTTCGTTTCTGATTTTACTATTTTAAAACATTAAAATATTATAAATAATATAATAATAAATTACGCATACTACTTAGCCGCAACTAATTTATTTAACTATTTATCTTTTTTTTCTAATTTGTGATTACATAATATATTAATAACATAAAGTTATATCCTATTTTTTTGACGTTTATTTACTGTAACCAAAAATTGACATAACTGTATTCAATACAATTGGATCGAGAAATACGGTAAACGAGTTTTATTAGTCTAAATTATTATACTTTTATTCAATTTTAAATTATTTACGCTCAAGAATAAATTATAAATGAAGAAAATAACATGTTTTAGTACATGGCTACAAAGTAATAAAAAAATAGGACAAAACAGATGTAAAATATTATATAATATAGATGCTGGTTTGATTTTTAATAATCAAAAAATAAAGTTATAGGCATATATTATAACAATAATACAAATACTACCTATAATTCAGTAGGTTTTCAACTTTTTAAGTAGATGATGATTATCATGAAAATATTGATAATATTGTAAAAATGTTAAGAACATATAGAGATTTCAAAATAAGAAAAAAACAACAGACGGGTTTGTTCATAAAATAAATAGTTACCTATTTTTCACCTCCCACAAAATCTCCTCTGTACATTAACCCCCTTTTATGATACGTGTGATACCTATATAAATAAATTTCATAAATGGCCGTTGTGCATTCCAGCATTTCCTGTTGTGCTTGATATTTTATATACGTGTTATGCACACATCACGGACACAGCAGGTGGCACTCCTATAAGTTACACAAGTTTTGCTCATTATTACAGAGCAAAATACTGCACTACAATATAATTTTTTCATTAACCCATATTTCAGATATCAAAATATAGTAGTATCTTTAAACCGTGAAAATGTCCATGTATAAATATCGTAAATCGAGTAGAGATAGAAAAACATAAGAGAGTTTAAACTTTACTGCAGATAAGCGAACGCAGAACATATATCAGAGTATAAGAAAGTGGGTAACGCCAATTCACCGTGGAGTCTCCACTACGGAGCACGCCGCCCACTGCAAAACTTAAAAGAAGCTCTCAAAACTCACGGAGTCATAAATAAGTGGTCAACGGTTTAATATTAGAACTTTTTTTGGAAAAAATCTAAAAAAAATATAATGCGTAGAACTCAAGAAAATGGGAGTTTGATGTTAAAATGTCACCCTGTACAAAAAAAAATGAACTGAAATGTTCGCAACAGCGGTGGACGCATGTTATTATCGGCTGGCACGATGTCCGATTTTTTGTATTTATATTTTTAGTATCCTCATCGCGGGACCTATGCTACAATACACCTACGTTCGAGTATAAATGTATAATATATATCGCAGTAAACAACATAACGGGGAACGGTCTGAAAAGCGATCCAATTCCGTACACATACTCGTATATTGGTAATATTATTATTATTATTAATGCCACGGTGCATATTTGCGAGAAAACGTCGGCTGCTACGAGGCCTTAACCCGGCAGCACAACTTGTTTCCACCCGAGTGGTAGGTAAACCGGTTGTATATGTATATAAGTAAATATACGACAGCAGATTCGACAGTTGCGCCGTAATGTATTTTATGTATAAAGGTATATATTATTATAATACACTAACACCACTGTCCGACTGCGGCGTAATGGCGGAAAAAAAAGCATGATCGAAATTCGAAGGACTTTGAACACACACACGCACATAATGTCGAATAATATTTTCCTGTTGCTATACAGCTTAAGTGGACGTATCTATATGCCACATATTATATATGATTCCAATAGCCATATAAAATAATATTTCACACATTTTCCGAAATAGGCAAGCTCGAATCAAAACAATAAAAATTACATAAATACCAGAAACAACCGAATCGAAAAATTCGATTAGCGTCAGTTTCTAACTAAACGGAAACATTTCATTGGTGAAGCATGTCGTCAGATGCTAATTTCGATAAATGTACCATGCATTATTATCACATTATTATAAGGTTTTGCTATAGTATTCGAAAACTATTAAGTCATAAACTATACTCACAAATCACGGAAATCATATTTAAGAATATAGATTGTGTAATAAAAACAAGAACAGTTGAACCGCGAAGAAGGAATAAGGATACAGCAGAGCATATTGACATTTTGTATCAAAATATAATATTTAAATGAATTCTTAATCGTTGCTAATCAAAGTATTTGACAAGGGGATATGTGTTATTAATATTTTTGGGCTACAAAAATGGTTCAATTAGGATAAAGTTCACAAGGAATAAAAGATTTGAATGTTGCCAGTTTTACTTTTTTAATTATATTTTTTGGAGATGGCCCAGTTGTATATATAATATATCTAGGTGGATAAAAATATGGACAAGACATTAGGTGTCTTAGGGACTCAAGATAGTAAAACGTCAATTGTATTAATTGATGAACCAAGGTGTTGGCATTACTACTATATAGGTTAAGGTTGGAGAGTTTGGTTGAACATGATAACAGCAAACGTTTTGTATAATTACCGCACTAATTACATCAAATTAAAATTAGATACCTAAAATATATATAAAAAAAAAATGAACTTAAATAGGAAATAACAATTGTTATATCACGACAAAATCAAGCATGATAAATCGAATACATAACAATATATAACTTATATTTAAAGGGATAGTTAACAGACAACCGTTTACACAATTGTTTAAATAATAGTCTGACTCTGGTGAATTATTTGAAAAATTCCAAACAGCAAACATCTGTGCGAACACATTTTTATCGAGCGCCGTTAATTTGCAAAACGTTGAATGACAAAACTAGAAAGCAATTTAAACCAACATAATCTTCATACTTCATGGAAAAAAATACAATAAAATACTAGTGTTACCTCAAATCAACTCAAAAAGGCTTTTATAATATAAACATACAATGAAATATATGCAATTGTAATATCTGTTATTTAATTCAGACATTATAAATAATTATAATAGTATTAACAAAAGTAGACAGTTAAGTAATAGTATAAATACTTCAATCACACTTTAGTGAGAACAAAACCAAAAATACAAATGAAAAAGTGGAAACATTTATTATATACATTTGGCGCATTAATGTAGGTTTTTTTTAGATTTATAAAAATTCATCATAAATTAGATTTTGTTGTAAGAAAAACAAGATATATTGAAATTAATAGTCTTCAGTAAGAACGTCTGGATCATGGCCAAGGTCTTTAAATTTGACGATCAAACTTAATTTAATAATAAGTATAATTTTAAGTTACATGAGTTAAATACAAACGTTGATTGCATATTAGGGATAATACTACCTAAAATATTACCTATTTAAATTGCATGCCATATTGGTTTGGATTTTGTAAGATAGGGCCATAAAATATGTAACTAAAATATTCTTATACAATTTCATATTACTAAGTAGAATACTAATAATAAAAAATATATTAATATATTATTTGATAGAAATAAAATAATATTAGATTTGTTTTAAAATGTATAGCATTATATAAAATATATCATGGAGTATAAAATCAACGGAATGCCAGATAGGTATAATATAAT